AAGATAAGAATACGGAGAGAGGATATAACACCATGGAAGCAGAACCTTCCACACAGCATCAGGACAATAGGAATGCTGTTGGGACTCAACACAGGCTCCATCCTACAGCGATCAGAATTCATCTGAAGAAAGAAATTCTAAGCTGAAGGGGTCCCCTGCTCAGCGACGTGTTGCCCCAGAGTCAGCGCACAGTTTGGCACAGCCCAAGGTGGCAGCAGTGCCTGAGTTGGTACTACTCTTCCTGTAGAGAATGAGAGATGTCAGAGATAATGAGAGATTGAGGTGGTCATGTGATTCTTCAGTGACAGGGTACTTGTGGGGCGATGAGCTGAAGATGAGAAGATTAAAAAAAAATAGGAAGGTTTGGGGTTAGCAGGCTTTACATAAGCTGAGGGTTTTCGCAAACGATTTATGAAGAAATACAACCCCTTACATACAGTTTGTAGGGGAGAAACAGGGGAAAGTCAGCAAGAAGCTGATCGAGCAATAGTGTATGAAGGGCAACACGGGATATCTCAACGGCATCAGAGATTGAGTGCAGATCTTTGGGGACTGGTAAATCCAGTCTCTTCAGGAGGAAAAGCCAAGTTCCCAGGTACTGAAACTTTAACTTCTTTGAGACCATGCCAGCCCAGACTTTGACAAGTCTGCTCCTGCACCAAGGTACCAAGAATTAGGTTTCTTTAGTCCATCATAGGTGGCTCCAGCTCTCAACAGGCATGGAGTCCTGTTACAGAGTTTCAGATCTCTGTGAGTTTGAAGCCAGCCTGGTCTAAAAAGCTAGTTCCAGGACAGATAGAGATGTTACACACAGAAACCCTGTCTTTTAAGTCTCCCCAGCCCCCAACAACAACAACAAAAAACTCCAAACTAAAAACAAACAAACACACAAAGAAACAAAGAAATAAACAAAAACGGAAGCTTTGTGAGGGCTGCTACCCAAATGACACTGAGGGAAGCCAAGGGACCATTTCAAAGAAAACTAACCAAGCAGGCGATCTGTAAACCCTAGTAGCTGCTGGGAAGAGAGGGTGGGAGAACATCGAGAAGGAGAGTGTGTGGAGCAGCCATACAAGCTAAGTCTGGGCAGGTCACCCAAAGGAAGTTCTTTACTTCCTACCATTAAGACCTGGGACTCTGGCCATCGATGAATTTAAATAGAGTCTGGAGTCTCAATAGTTTACCCTGAGACAATGCTTGGATGGATGCAGGAGGAACCACAGGCTGAGATTGCCTGACCGTTACCCAATAGCAGACCAGTCAAAGGAAATGCCTGGCATTCCAACCTCTGTAGACAGGATCACCTACCAGCGCACCTCAACAGGACACCCCTAGACAGATGTCAGCCAATCAGAGGTCCTGAACCTCAGAAACCCGTCACCCCCACCTTTACTGTAAAAACTCAATTCTAATTGTGTTCAGGACTCTTCGGATATTCCAATACGTTGGACATGCAGAGAGACCGAGTTTGCAAACTTGATTGAAATAAAGGCTCTTTGGTTTTACATACGGGACTCGGTCTCCTTTGTTGGCTTTTGTGGGGACCCACGGATTTGGGCATAACAGAGAACAAAAAAGCAAGCAGCACTAAGGTTAGGCCATGGAGGTTGACAACAGCTTCACGGGTCATGGCGCGCGTGCGTGTGCGTGTGTGTGTGATGGACATTTGATGGGGAGACACAACACTTGGATCTATTCACTCCAGAATGGGAGTCCACAACAGAGTAATGACTATACCGGTTTCCAACTTGGTGAGACAATGAGGTTTTTATTGGGGTCCTCTTTATTTGTTGTTTTGTTTTTTTGTTTTTCAAGACAGGGTTTCTCTGTAGCTTTGGAGCCTGTCCTGGAGCTAGCTCTTGTAGACCAGGCTGGCCTTGAGTTCACAGAGATCTGCCTGCCTCTGCCTCCCGAGTGCTGGGATTAAAGGTGTGCGCCACCGCTCCCTGGCTTTATTGGGGTTTTTACAGGAGTGTAGGGGAGGGCTACTGACAAGGAGCAGGGCTAACTCTGCTCTTCACGCAGTTGCAGGGCCAGAGAGCCTACCCTATGTGGGCGACGATTCAGGAAATCTACAACTCTGGAGCTTTCTATGTAGCTCACTCCAGAACTATCTCTTTTTACCCCACTTTCCCCCTTTCAGTCATAGATTTCTCCTCTTTATCTGGCTGGATAGCAGCCCTCAGAAAGCTTCCAAGTTCCTGCTTTCACATCGCCCTGTGTTTGCCTTCTGAGGCTCAAGGGCCTTCCCTTTTCTCCTGGGCACAAATGTTTCAGTTTGGAGGGAATGTTGCAGGTTGTGAGGAACCTGTCTTACAAGAGGGGGCCTGACAGAGGGAATGAGATTGTCCATAACGTCTGGGCAAGCATGTGTAGGATTTTGGCCAATATTGAAAAGGCAGACAGAAAGAAAAGTTATGCTGTTCAGTAGGAACTCCTGCTCCCCCTTGCACAAGCTGGAAGACACCATCTGCCCCACTTTCCCCAACCCCGCCTGTGCTGAGGAAACTCTGAACAAAGGAATGGCACCCAAGTGCTCACCCAGGTATCTAGCTTTTGCCCATACTTGGGCATAGTCCCAGCTCCAAGCTGGCACATCAGCACTTCTCACCTAAGGGCTAAAGAACCTCCCTACCTTATTCTGGCCCCGTGGTTTCTCACCTAAGGGCTAAAGAACCTCCCTACTTTATCCTGGGCCTGTGGTTTCGCTAGCTCTGTTCTTTGGGACTGGTGAACCCACCCTGGAAACCATGACCAATAAACCTGCATTTATCTGTTTTAAATCTGGTCTGAATGGCCTTTTGTGTTGGCAGAAACACATCATCTGCTTTTTTTTTTTAATTAAACCACAGAAAGCAGAACAGAATTAGTGAAAATCTGTAAGTAACTCCATTGAGGGAAGGACTTGGGGTGTGTAAGTGCATTATCTCATTAAGAAGATAATTATTCTTTCCATCTCCTTAGCATGTCTGTAGGCAAATTAGCTTGGGTCTGGAGTCCTGTGACTGACAGACTCAGTTGGATTAACTGTTAGCACCCTGGCACACCTGGCTTGACACCTTGAGAGGACCTTCCAGAGTGGTCACCTGTGCCTCATGCCTGCACACAGGGCAGGCAGTATGCTGTCCCTTTAAAAGGTGAAACTCTACCTACTTCTACCTCCCTCTCCCTCTTCTCATGGGCTGCTCCTGTCCCCTGAGGTAGGTCTTTTCCCTCCCCTCTCCCCCTTTCCCATACCTTTCTCTTAATAAAATTTCCCACATAAGCGTGTCTTGTCTCTCACCCACCAAGGTCTCTCTCCTACAGAATCATATCATTAACTCTAAAGGGAGGGAACAATAGTACAAAAAGATTATAGATTTTGGGACAGATTATATATATGTCTCTCTTCTCCTAAGGCCAAAGGTAGAATTTAGATTCTATTCCTTTGAGCAAGAGTGTTCTAGTTTGGTTTTTTTGTTTCCATAAAAAAACACTAACTAAAAGCATCTTGGGGAAGAAAATGGTTTATCTGGCTTACTGGGGGAAACAAGGGCAGGAACTCAACCAGGAACCCGAAGGCAGGAACTGAGCAAAGCCACTGAAGGATCGCTGCTTAATGGCTGGTATCCCTGGCTTGCTCAGCCAGCTTTCCTATATAGCCCAGCCAGTGGTTTTCAACCTGTGAATCATGAAACTCTTAACAAACCTGTATTCGCAAAAATATTTACATTATGATTCTTGACAGCAGCAAAATTACAGCGAAGAAGTGGCAGCAAAAATAACGTCTGGGGGTCAGCACAGCACGAGGAACTGCATCAAAGGGTAGAAGCATTAGGAAGGCTGAGACCCACTGCGCCACTTGGTTCAGAATGGCACGGCCCACAGTGGGGTTGGGGCTCTCCCATCAACTAGCAATCAAGAAAATGCCCAATGAACATGGTCGCAGGCCAATCAATTCCTGGATTGAGGTTTCCTCTACTAGGCGTGCCTTCAGTAGAATAACTGAAGCTATTACAAGGAGGAACCAGCTTGGCCCTAGTGGACCACAGCCACAGTAAAGTCTTGCTGGCTCCATCTTTTCTTATGGTGTTTTAAATCTCAAGGGGAAAACACAAGACTTCCTGGTCTACACTGACCTAGTAGTAGCCAAGTGGTCAATTTCTACCTCTCTGCCAATTACACATAATTACTGACCCCTTCGAGACAGAGACTTTCCAAAACTGCTAAATGTTTGCGATAGAGAAAATAAAAAAAGATTAAACAACAAAACAACTAAAAACACATCAAAACTGCCTGCCCTAGAAATGACAATCTTCTCCCCTCCCCATCCTTTTTGTTCTTTTTTGAGATAGCATTTCTCTGTAGCTTTAGAGCCTGTCTGGGAATTAACTCTTGTAGACCAGGCTGGCCTTGAACTCTCAGAAGTCCACCTTTCTTTGCCTCCTGAGTGCTGGACCACCCAGCTAAAACTGCCTGTCCCAGAAATGACAAAGTCTTAAGTACTAATTTTTGATGTTTCATGGGTCCTCTGGACCATGTTCCCTATCCCTCACCGAAAAAGAATTTCCTCATTTGTAATAACCTAGTCTCTGTTTTTAAGGATTCTGATCCAGGTAAGGGAGGATTCCCAAAGGCTGCTTCAAACCCAGATCCAGCAGGTACACCAAACTTGAGCTGTGATTAGCAGACAAACACTTTAACGTGTCAAAGATACCCTTTTGAAAGTGACAGCTCAGTCCATAGTGGGAGAGAAGCTTGGATTCTTTCTATCTGGGGGTTTCTCTTATTTAGATGGAAAAAAAAGGACGCGTGGCATTAGCTTACGCACTGAGTCAAAACAGGCTTGGGCTTGGCAGACAGAGGCGGGAGACTGTGACCCAGGGGGCGGGACTGGAGGGGCGGGACTGGAGGGGCGGGGTCAGGTGGAACCGCCCCTCTAATTCGTGGCCGCTTTTAGCCACTCACCAGGGCGGGGCTTCCTCTTCGCTTGACCTCGGAAGGAAGGGGGCGGGTCCTTTGGGGCGGAAGTTGCGATGCATTGTGGGCTCGCCGGGAGCCTCGGAGTCGAACCTGAATGAAAGTGGCGCGCCGCTGTGGAGCCGGGTGCGGTTGCCGGCGCTAGGGTCCGGGCCGCTCGCTCCGGAGCGGTCGGCTAGGTGGCGGTGTGCGGCGCCGACATGGCTTACAACAAGATCCCGCCGCGATGGCTGAACTGTCCGCGGCGCGGCCAGCCGGTGGCAGGTACCGGGGAGGGGGCTGCGGGCGGGTTCGAATCCCACTCCTCCAGCCGGGCCTGGGAACCGCGCGCTCGGCGGCAGCCAGTCCGGGCTCCCGCAGGGCTGGGGAGCGACGACGGGAGGTGGACAGGAGGCTTCCGGATCTTCAAGTTGGTGAACCTCTCCCTTGGTGATTTGGAGACTGGGTCTCGCTCTCTGTTGACACTTGTTCTCGACGAGGACAGGAGCGGAGTGTGAGTCTTGAGATTGAGGAAGGCTTTAAGAGAAAGGAGGCTGGGAAGCGGGGGGAGTTTTAGTTTTTCTTTGAAACGGACTTTCGTGGAATGTTTCCATCTTGAGTTTGACGTAGAGTAGCTTCGCTCTGGAACTTGGGAGATGCTTTTTCTAGCCTCCAGAATACCTGGGCTTCTAGGCCCGTGTCACTGCTAGACTGAGGGACAGGGATTTAACAGTGTACAGCTTGATGAATTTGGACCACACACATATATCCCAGGGACCACGCCTGAAATAGCTGAGACACAGTTCTCTGAATTTGGGGAGACATTGCAGATGGTAGCCGTAAGGGACCACAGTTAACCAGCAATAAGGTTAGATAGCAGTTTAGAACTTTGTCGACTGGACCTAGGAGCCAAAAGCAGTTTTTACGCTAAAATTGAGGAAGGAATACACAAACTGTTTATACTGGATCTACTCTGTGGTTTTTTTTTTTTTTTTTTGAGACAGGGTTTCTCTGTGTAGCTTTGGAGTCTGTCCTGGAACTAGCTCTTGTAGACCAGGCCGGCTTCGAATTCACAGAGCTCGCCTGCCTCTGCCTCCCGAGTACTGGGATTTAAGGCGTGCGCCACCGCTGCCCGACAGATTTACCGTTATAGAATAATCATCGGACAGTTGTTTGTAGATCTTTACTGCTAAGCACCCATTTATAAGTTCTCAGGCAAACTTTACCGTTCTTTCCCCTCTTTGGATGCTCTTTGAATAGCATCCGAAATACAGTGAGCGATGGCTCTCCATTGAGGAGCTGGTACCTCTGCTTGTTGCTTTTTCTTGGAGAAGCCCATACTCTTGCTTGCTGTTGTCATTCTTTTGAGCGACTGTCTTTCCCTTAACTCAACTCTTGAGCTCAAATCTGTATTAAAATATCTTCGTTAAGCTACAACGGCGTTTCAGAACAAAGCAAAAACTCAAGGCAGACAAGTTTTAGGATAGCGCTTATGTGAGGATTTCAGCATCTATCCAGTAAAGGACAGTTTTGTTAAGGGTCAGGATGTGGTGGTAACTGGGTATCTTTTCTGGCACCATCTGGCATAGGTAATTAAATTTATGGCATCTTACAGCATCTCAGAATTTTTGCCACATTCAAAGTTTCTTGCTGCTCCTGACTCTCACTTTCTTTCTGTTACTGTGCTTAAGTATCCCCTTTCAGGACATCCCAGTCAACACCATCCATGTGCTGACACATGAATGGGAAGCGTTCTGCTGCCACGGCTCATCTCCAGCACAGCTGGCCTCCCTAGCACCAAGTCCGCGGTGATGAGCAAGTTAAATGGCTAGCCGGAAGCCTAAGTTTCAGGGCTTCAGGGTTGTCTCAGTGCTGCTGCTATTCCAGAGGACACAAGTTCTAATCCCAGCACCCGCAGAGTGGTTCCAGTTCCAGGGTATCTGATACCCTCTTTTGGCTTCTTCCAGTACCTGCACACATGTGGCATATACTCATACAATTGCACATACACATACACATAAACAAAAATAAACTTTCAGAAAAGTGAGTCTAGCTGGGCAGTGGTGGCGCATGCCTTTAATCTCAGTACTCAGGAGGCAGAGGCAGGCGAATCTCTGTGAGTTTGAGGCCAGCCTGGTCTATAAGAGCTAGTTCCAGGACAGGCTCCAAAGCTACAGAGAAACCCTGTCTCGGAAAACAAACAAACAAAACCAAGAAAAAGAAAAAAAAAAGTCTAAATATGAAGCCCATATACATTTAAAACTCACGCTCTTGGTGTGTTTTTCCATTTAGTTTACATAAAACATTTTCACTTTAATATACAGTTTTTCTTCCTCATATAACCCACCATGTAGCTGTTTATAGACTCAGTATGTAGACATAAGGAAAATCATTTGACTTTTGCATTATAGTCTTTCTGTACACTGTTGTATGAAGCTTCTGCAGTCCTTCTTTCCTAGACAGCTGTCGATCTGCTGTCTGCCACCTTCAGTGAAGTGCATTTCCTAATAGTTGGCAAACATCATGTACTCACTGTACGTCTATGTTGTATAGGTTGGCCTTGAACTATGGCCTATCTAGTTTGAGGATGACTTTAACTCAATCCTCCTGCTTCTGTTCCCCAAATGGTGGGATTAGATATATCTCCCGTCTCCCATACCCTGCTGTCAGTTTTTAATGAGAGTTTGAGTTGTTAGAGGACTCGGGTTCAGTTCCCAGCACTAATGGCAGTTTACAGCAGTCTGTAGTCCTAGTTCCAGGGCATAATGTCTTCTGGTCTCCTCAGGCACTAGGCATACATATAATCTACATAAATACACGTAGACAAGACACAATAAAAATCAATAAGACAGTATACACCACCAGTAAATGTGAAAATATGTGTTAAAAATTGATAACGGGGGCTGGAGAGATGGCTCAGTGGTTAAGAGCATTGCCTGCTCTTCCAAAGGTTCTGAGTTCAATTCCCCGGCAACCACATGGTGGCTCACAACCATCTGTAATGAGGTCTGGCCTGCAGACATACACACAGACAGAATATTGTATACATAGTAAATAAATAAATAATTAAAAAAAAATTGGTAGCGGTCTGGTGAGACCAGCTGGTAAAGGTGCTTACTACTAAACCTGGCACTTGAGTTCAATCACCAGGGTCTTCATGGTAGAAAGAAAGGACAGCGTTTCCAGCAAATTGTCATATGACCTCCACATGCAAGCTGTGTGTACGCACATAAATACATGTAACAAAATTAAAATTATACTGTTACCAATTAAACATTTTAGTTACATTTATTTAATAGTAGCTAGCTGTGGTGGCACACATTTGTAATTCCAGCACTTGGCATGGAGAGGCAGGGAGCTCAGACCCAGCCTGGGCTACATTAGAGCTCTAAGCCAACCTCAGCTATATAGTCTCCAAAGAGGAGTGGGGACCAATGATAAAAGAGTGAAGGGCCAGTAGAATGGCTCTGTAAGTAGGACACTTGCCACCAAGCTTTACAACCTGGTTGAACCCCTAAAGCAGAAGAAGGGAACTCTTTCCTGAAGTGTGTGTTCATCGACACTCTTAATAAATAGATGTTTAAAAAAACTGAAAAAATGAGATAAAGAGAAGTGAGAAGAAAAGTTAAAGGAAAAGTGAGGCGCTGGAAAGGTGGCTTAGCAGTAAGAACACATACTGCTCTTGCAGAGGAATCAAGTTTGGTTCCCAGCATCTACTTGATGGCTAACAACTGTCCATAGCTCTAGTTCCAGTGGATCCAGCACCCTCTTCTGGCCTCAAGTCATAAGACATTGGGCACACATATACATACTCAGGCAAATATAACAGAAAAATAATGCATGTTAATAAAATATGGCATGACAAAGCCATCAACTTTTCTTGAGAGAGAACCAGAAATCGTCAGGCGGTGATGGTGCATGCCTTTAATCCCAGCACTCGGGAGGCAGAAGCAGGTGGATCTCTGTGAGTTCAAGGCCAGCCTGGTCTACAAGAGCTAGTTCCAGGACAGGCTCCAAAAAAAACTACAGAGAAACCCTGTCTTGAAAAACCAAAAAAAACAAAACAAAACAAAAAACCCCCAAAACCCCAAAAACTCAAAAACCCAACTGTAATATAATCTCAGCACTTGGTAACCGGAGATTGAACATTGCCAATTCAAAGTTACCTACCTATATAGTGATAGCCTGGGCTATATCATGAGACTCTATCTTTTTCTTTTTTCTTTTTTCTTTTTCTTTTTCTTTTTAGAGACTTGATTTCTTTTGTATAGCTTTGGAGTCTTCCCTGGAACTTGATCTGTAGACCAGGCTAGCCTTGAATTCACTGAGATCCTCCTTCCTTTGCCTCTCTAGTACTGTGGTTAAAGGTGTGTGCCATCACTACCCGACATGAGACTTTGTCTTAAAAAATAGTCAAAAATCTAAATCTTGACAAATAGGTATTTGAAAATTGCTTATTTAAGGTGATTTCCCTGGGCTTATACTACTAAAAAAAAAAAAAGTACCAAACAAACAGTAAGCCTTTAGCAAGTAAGCCTTTAGCAAGTAAGCCTTTAGCAATTGATTCTGGTTAATACAATTTTAACACTATAACATCCTCCATGATCTTTTCCCTGAGATGTGGATGAGGTTCAGAGATGGAAATACTTAACAGCCTTTCCAGACAGCCGAGGCTGGGGACGTCCTTTAGTTAGCAGATTACTTGCACAGAAAGTCCTGCTTTTGATCCCTAGCGTTACATAAACCAGTTCTGCTGGGTGAACGCCTGTGATCCCATCACTCTGAAAATTGAGGTAGGAGAATCAGGAGGTCAAGGTTATCCCCAGCTACACACCGTTGGAGGCTAAACTTGATATCCCTGCTTTACATAACAAATAAACAACAACAGCAACCCCCCCATACCAATGCCGTGTAATTAGGAACTTGAAATAAATTGAGTTAAACTGTAGTGTTGGTACATACTTACAACTCCAGCTTTTGGAGATATTGTGTGAGGTGCTATTTCTGGGTAGATGTGAACATCTATTCTTACCCCAAGATAGGGAAATGACAGTAGACAAGAAGTAAGGATATTTACCAAAGTTCAACTTGGTGAGCAAATGAGTTTTATTGGAGTTCTTGCTCATAGGAGCAGATGACTTTAGTGGTATAGATTCCTAAAAAAGGATTTATTTATGTTTTATTTACACATACATGTGTGAGACTGTATAAGTTTATGTGCACCATGTGCGTGCAGGAGTCTGGAGACCAGAAGAAGGAATCGGATCCTTTGGAACTGGAGTCACATGTGGTTGTGAACCACCGTATGGGTGCTGGGAATTGAACCCAGATCTTCTGCAAGAGCAATAAGTGCTCTTATCAGCTGAGTCATCTCTCCAGCCCTAAGTTTAGATTCTTTATGGATGTTTCATTCATTGGTAATTTTTCTTTGTTTATATCATCAAATTCTAGAATAAATTCAATTAATTAATCTGCATTTCGAGTGAAAGAACATTATGGGTAATTGCGTTTATAATTTTGTGTTTCATTTTAAGGTATTAACAAAGTGGGGGTGGGATGTAGTTCATTTAGTATAATGCTTGCTTACTACCAGGAGGTCATGGGTTCTATTCTCACCACTACATAAAGCCAGGCCAGTGGTACAAGAGAATCAGAAAATCAAGGTCATCCTCAACTACACAGTGAGTCTCATGCCAGCCTGGCATATATGAGACTCTACTTTAATAAAAAACAAAAACAAAATGTTATTTGAAGAAGGCAGGTTTGGAAAATCAAATTATAGAATTTTAGTCCTTTCTTTAAATAATGAAAATTATTATTTACCTTGATGTTTAGGAAGATTCTTACCTCTGAAGACGATGCTGGGGCCACGATATGATAGTCAAGTTGCTGAAGAAAACCGGTTCCATCCTAGTATGCTCTCAAATTACCTAAAGAGTCTGAAGGTAAGAAGCAAAGCTCTTTGCTACTGATGTAGTATTCCTTCCCTGTTTCATTCTTCAAGGACTTTTCAGTGAGGGCTATGTGCTTACACATGGGTATAGAGGCCAGAAGACAGCCTTGGGTATGGTTCCCAGGTGCTGTTCACCTTTTTGTTCTTGAGATAATATTTCTCATTGGTAGATTCCTTTCATATGCGTATTTATTTTCAGAAGCTTCTGCAGTAGTAGGTTTCCATATGACTTAAATGGCCTTTAGTGTTAGTTGTCCCTCCCCATATTCCCTATTTTTTCCCCCCTTACTCTTCCTCTCCTCCCCTCGTCCCCATTTAATCCTACTATTCTAGTTTCCCCGTTGTTTCTTCCTAACTCTATATTCTATGTCCCATTCCTTGAAAGATCCTCTCCTCCTCACTGGTCCCTTACTAGGTACCTAATATCTGTCACTATTCAGATTGTAGCACACATATTGAAAGCCTAAAACTAATATCCACATATAAGAGAATAGCATATAGTATTTGTGTTTTTGGTTCTGTATTACCTCTCTCAAGATGAATTATTCTAACTCTACCCACTTACCTGCAATTTCATTTTTTAAATAGCTGAATCATAGTCCATTGTGTAAATGTATCACTTTTTATTATCCATCAGTTGATGGATATCTAGGCAGTTTCCAATTTCTGGCTATTATGAATAGAGCAGCACTGGACATGGATGAGTAAGTATCTCCACAGTAGGATGTAGAATTCCTCGGTTTTATGCGCAAGGGTATTATAGCTGGATCTTAAGGTAGATCGATTCCCAGCTTCTTGAGGAAGTGCAACACTGATTTCTACAATGATTGTAGCAGTTTGCACCTCCCAGCAATGAAGAAGGATCCCCCTTTCCCAGCATCCTTGGCAGCATATGCTATCATTGCTTTATTGTTCTTGGCCATTCTGGCTTGTGTAATATAAAATCTCAAAGTCATTTTAATTTGCATTTCCCTGATGTCTAAGGATATTGAACATTTTTTTGTTTCTCAGCCATTTGTATTTCATCTTTTGAGAACTTTATGCTTAGTTCTGTACCTCATTTTTAAATTAGTTTATTTTATTGATTCTCAGTTTTTTAAATTCTTCATATTTTCTAGATAATGGTCTATCAGATGTATAATTGGTAAAGATCTTATCTCATTCCATAACCTACTGTGTTCTGAATGATGGTGTCTTTTGCCATTACAGAACTTTTCAGTTTCATGAGATTCTACTTAATAATTGTTGTTCCTAGTACTTGTGCTAGTGGTGTCCTGTTTAGAAAGTCCTTTCCCATGCCAGTGAGTTCAAGTCTGTTCCCTACTTTGTCTCTATCAGATTCAGAGTATCAGGTGTTATGTTGAGCTCTTGATCCATTTGGACTTGATAGGTGTGGATCTGTTTGCATTCCCCCTTCTATATGCAACCATGAAGTTTGAGCAGCATTATTTGTTGAAGATGCTGTCTTTTCTCCAGTGTGTATTTTTGACTTCTTTATCAAAAATCAGGTGTCCAAAGGTGTGTGGAAATACTTCTGGGTCTTTAGTTCCATTGATCAATGTGTCTGCTTTTATTACAGTTTGAGATAGACAATGGTAATAACTCCAGTAGTGTTTTTAATATGCAATTGTTCAGGATTGTTTGTTTTAGTTTGTGTGTGTGTATTTCCAAATAAAACTGAAGGTTGTTTTCTCAATTTCTGTGAAGAACTGTGTTGGAATTTTGGTGAGGAGTGCATTGAATCTATACACTGCTTTTGGTAGGATGGCCACTTTCGCAATATCAATTCTACTGATTCTTGTCTTCAGTGTTTTAAAATTTTAATTATACAAGTCTTTTACTTGCTTGGAGTTATCCCAAGATAGTTTTTTCTTTTTTTGAGGCTACAGTGAAAGGTATTATTTCCCTAGTTTCTTTCTTAGTAGGTCTGTCATTTGTATAAAGGAAGATTACTGATTTTTTTATTAGTTAATTTTGTATTCTGCTACTTTTCTGAAAGTGTTTATCAGCTGTGAAAGCTTCCTGGTAGAATTTTAGGGTCTTTTATGTATAAACTCTTTTGCAAATAAGGATACTTTGACTTTTCCTTTTCCTATGTATATCCCCTTCAGTTGTCTTAGTGGTCTAGCTAAGACTTCAAGTACTATATGGAATAGGTATGGAGAGAGTGAAAATCCTTATCTTGTTTCTGATTTTAGTGGAAATGTGTTGAATTTTTCTCCATTTTTGACTGTTGACCTGCTTGTCCTTTGTATCACTAGTCCATTGTGGACTTTTATCTTGAAGGAATGCTGGATTTTGTGAAAGGCCTTTTGTGCATCTGATGAGATGATCATGTCGTTTTTGTCTTTCCATCTGTTTATGTGGGGGATTAACACTCAGATAATGAAAGTCTTAGATAGGTAACTAAATTTAGTTTTAGTTTTATTGGTTATATTTTCTTGCCATTCTTCCAAATTATGAATGGCAGAATGTTGTGGAGGATTTGTACATTAACTCTTTTTGAAGCTCAGTTCAGGCATATATTTCTTCTCTCTTTCTCTTTCCCTTCTATTTTGTTTTCTTTTATTTTATTTTATGGGTATTTGGATAGAGTCACATGTAACTCAGAGTGTGCTTAAAGTCACTATATAGTTGAGAATGACTTTGAAGTTCTGTTTCTCCCGTGTCTACCTCCCATGTACTAGGCATAAGCCACTATACTAGGCTTAGGAACTACATTTTAAAAATAGTTGTTTAGATTATATATGCCTCTCATTTTATTGAAAATGAAATTAAGATTTTAATTTATTTTCATACCCTTATCTTGTTTCTTTCTGATATCCAGGAAGAGAAATACACGTGCAGAGGCCAGAGGTTGATGTCTGATGTCTTCCTCTGTTATTCTCCAACTTATTTTTTTGAGACAAGGTCCTTCACTGAACCTGGAGCTTGGTGATTTGGCTAGACTAGCCGGACAGCAAAGCCCAGAGGATCATCCTGTCTCCACCTCCCAGCTCGGGAATTACAGGTGTGTGTAACCACACCTGCCTTTTTATGTGGGTGCTGGGGATCCGAACTCAGGTTCTCATGCTTGCATAGCAAGCACTTTGCCCTCTAAGCCATCTCCTCAGCTTTGATTTTTTTTTTTTTTTTTACTCCCTCTGTGTAGCTCTGACTGTCCTAGAACTCCATCTGTAGAACAGGCTGGCATCAATCTCAGAGCTCTGCCTACCTCTGGGATTAAAGGTGTGTGCCACCACACCAGGCTTCTGTTTTTAGTTTTTACTGTGCTTCTTTAAAAGGACTATAGTTCTAGGCATTAGTGTATTTTTAGAAAATAGAAGAATATATTAAATAGAAAAGGAACACACATTTGTTGCATAAATGGCTTCTTACATGCTTTAAGGCTGGATACAGGGTAGTGAATAGATAGAAGTAGTGGTTGTGGTGGCCACCTCGAACCTGGGAGATGTGTGCCTGGCGCCAGAGCTGTGCTCTTTAGGAGAATGCTGTCCAATACAGAAAACAGTGACAGCGTTTGCCTCCTTGAATTCACGTTGTTGACAGTGGAGTCTGTTTTGCTTATACTTTCTGTCCTCCTTAGTTTAGAATTATTTTCCAGGGCCCCCTTAGTTCTTATTTCTGGAATTAAAATAGAATTACATTTAGAAGGTAGTTTCACTGTCAGCTGCTTGGTAGCAGTGAGCATGTAATCCTGCTCAGTAGAGTGGATGACTTCTAGTCCTGTCGCCTGCTTATCTTGTTTGGAATAAATGTAGTAACTAGCAAATCTCACTATTTATTTATTTATTTATTTTTAAAGGTTAAAATGAGCTTGTTGGTGGATCTGACAAATACTTCAAGGTTCTATGACAGAAATGACATAGAAAAAGAAGGAATCAAGTATATCAAACTTCAGTGTAAAGGGTAAGTTGTAAGTTACAAACGCTGCAAACTTTTATTGAGGTCTGTAATCTCTTTTCCAACCAACTTCTTTTTGTGTTCTCAGACATGGTGAATGCCCCACGACTGAGAATACCGAGACGTTTATTCGCCTGTGTGAGAGGTTCAATGAAAGAAGCCCACCTGAACTTATAGGTATGCTTGACTTCCTTAGGACAGTACGCCTGCTTTCTGTGGACATTTACAAACATACAGAAGTAGTAAGCGATAATGATAATTACTCAGTATTTATACTCAGTAATTATCATTTGCTGATGTTTTCATCTTCCCACTAGTTTATTTTAGTACTTAATTTTGTCATTTTTAATTAATTAATTGGTGTGTATTGTATGTACATATTTATATGAGTGTGTGTTTGTGTAGGTCAAGACAGGGTCTCCGACTAACCTGGAGCATATCAATTTGACTGCTGGCCAGTGAGCAGGGGTCTGCCTGTTTCTATCACGTGGTGCTGGGTTAGAGATGTGTGCTGTACCCAGCTTTTTACATTGGTGCTGAAGATCTGTACTGAGGTCCTCATGTTCCTGTGGCAGGGTATTTTCTGTCTGATTCATCTTCCCTGACCATTTTTTGTATATTTTAAAGGAAATCGTAGATGCCATGTCATTTCATTAAGAATATTTTAGTGTGTATCTCTAATTGTTTGGGGATTTTGGTTTTTCTATAATGACTACACAATTAGCGTACCAAGCAGAATAGTTACAAATTCCTTAATGTCATCTAAAACCAGTCTACTTTCAGTTTTCCTCACTAATCTAAACTTTGTTTTTAAATTTTGTTATTTTGGGACAGAGTGTGGAGTGACTTCTGGACTTCATATACATACACACAGAAAAAGACAAAAAACTGTAACAACTGGGTATTTCGTGTATACTATGAAGCACACAGAGCCATATATACCATCTATGCAATATTCCTGTCTGAAGTGCTGGAATGCATCTGGAAATAAATTTAGTTATGTTTCTAGACTAATTCATAGGCTATATAATAGATAAAAAAGAGTTTATAGATTGAAAATCCATAATCTGAACATCCAAAATTCAAATTCTTTTAAACCATAAACATTTGAATATAGTTATGACACCACAAATAACAAATTCCAGCCCATGAATCTTCGCTTAAAGTTTTGTTAAGAGTAGTTCTACAATATTACTTTCAGATGAGGTTTGTATGAAACATAAATCAGTTTCATGTTTAGACATAAATTCAGTTCCCAAAATAAATTTTCCAAAACTGAAAAAAAATTCAAGACCTAAACCACCTCTGGTCTGAAGTATTTTTTATAAACTGTGATTAATACCATGGGAAATAAAGAGAGGAATTTAGAATATGGAATATGTTTACAAGAAAATGACTTGTTTCTTTAAGAAACTTTTAATGGCTTGAAAAGAGGGAAACTAGAGAGACAACAAAGTTTTATATGTGAATGTTGTTAGATTGTATTTTGAGAGACTAACTTAGGAAGGCGTTGTTGGCCTGGCTATGGTGATGTTCTTTTTTAATCCCATCATAGTACTTGGGAGGCAGAGACAGGGAGATTCCTATGAATTTGAGGCTGGCCTGGTCTATGCAGCAAATTCTAGGGCAGCCAAGTCTACATAAAGAGACCTGGTCTCAAAAGAAGAAAAAAAGAAAAAAAAACTGACCAAACTATCAGGCTTTCCAAGCAGGCCTTTTTACCTGCTGGCCTTCTGAGTCGTCTGCTGGCCTCCAGAGGGTCTTGTTGAACTGCGTTTGGCATTATTTTCTTAGGCTATCTCATGCTTTGATTACTGTATTTACACTTGAACATATTCTGAACTATCTGTACTTTCTTTGTATCCTAGTTTATGTGGATTGTTCATGTGAAAGGTTTTATTTTTAATATTAGTGGTTATTTTATTTACCACTATTTAAGTAATGTTATTTACTTAATTCAGTTTTTGAGATAGGCTCTTTGTAGACTATGCTGACCTGGAACTGAGCGTCTTTCTGCCTCCTGAGAACTGGGTTTATGGTAATGTAACACAATACTGGAAGTTGAATGGAGGGTCTAAGAATTCTACCTTAGTTGTTATTCGAACATTTTTTTTTTTTACATTTTGTGTGTATGTGTGTATCTGTGTCTGAATGTGTGCGTGAATGTGTGGGTGCACATCTGTGGAAGGTTAAAGAGCAATTTACAGGAGTTCGTTCTCTCTTTTTACCATGTAGATTCTGGAGATTAAACTCAGGTTGTTAGGCTTTATGGCACATACCTTTACCTGCTGAGCCTTCTTGTTTGTATACTCTCTATATTTTTTAATTAGAATGTGACTTCATGATAACCTAGGCAAGCCTCAAACTCACCAAATTTCTGCTTCATTCTTTTGAATAGTGGGATTTCTGTTATATGGTATCACACTTGGCTTCTGTGAGAGTTCATTTTGAGTCTGCAGGAGAGTCAGTTGATCTGGCAATAATAATATTATGTTAGTAATATCATACAACTTTTTTTAAAAAGATTTATTTATTATGCATACAATATTCTGTCTGCCTGCATGTGTTCCTGCAGGCTAGAAGTTGGCACCAGATCTTACTACAGGTAGTTGTGAGCCACCGTGTAGTTTCTGGGAATGGAACTCAGGACCTCTGGAAGAACAACCAGTGCTCTTAGCCGCCGAGCCATCTCTTCAGCCCCTATAGAACTCTTAATTACTAATTTTTTCCTTCCTTCCTTCCTTCCTTCCTTCCTTCCTTCCTTCCTTCCTTCCTTCCTTCCTTCCTTC